TTAAGAAGAGAAAGATAGAGATGGTGAAGAATTCATACGATGAGAATTTTGAGGGAAGACAAAAGGATGGATGCATCTGTGCCATTGCAAACGATTTTGAGCCGTATCATTCAAAGTCTCTAAGCATCCATCGACTACTATCATCTGGCGGGCCTCAACATGGTAGTCCACATCTATCAACATGGCTGTCCCCTGGTTAGTGATATCCTGAATTTGTGATACGTTATGTTTCGTTTAGCCGCAATTAGCTCTCATCTAACCTACCCCTACATGAGATAACATTGCGCGTCGAGGAGATCTGTTGTTGAGTATACGCATAACACATGTCCCAACTAAACTTTTTCTAACAACGGCATCGGTCACTCATCGGTCCCAGTATATAACGATCAAGCCATAGCAAACACCGACGATGATTGAACTCTTTTGATACAACAGTATAGGTTACACATCGTTCCCAGTATATTACGAGCAATTCATCAAAAACACCGATGACCGGACACTAATAACCTATGAATATCTTCTACTCTTACTAGCCATATCTCATACGCATATAGTAGGATGGATGAAATGAACCACTACTGCATAGTAGACTCATCCTTTCGGTTGGTTACTCAACACAAATATCTCATGTTCATTAACAGAACATTTAAATCTATCCTAAATTGCGCCAAAATCAGCTATTCAAATAGGCACTGCTGTCTTCGAAGCATTGCTCGTATATCGTGGGACACCCGAATGAGCAACGCTGTTAATGGGAATCGGGTGCTAGGTGAGAATGGCAGATCAATAGATGAAGTAATGAAACTTCATCAGTTGAGGTGGTTGGGACATGTGCTGCGTATACCTAACCACCGACTGCCTCGACGAGCTTTGCTTTGTAGTGTAGGAGTAGGATGGAAGAAAGTTAGCGGCGGCCAAACCAAAACATGGCATAAATCTATGAAATAATTGACAAGTAGAATGAGTCATGTTGGTAGATGTAGGCTATCTGGTTGGGGTCCGTGCGATGATAAGAATCAGTGATTAGAGACCCTGAATGACATGGCTCAAAATCGTTTGCAATCGCACAGGTGCATTTATTCTTTTCGTTCTCTCAAATCTTAATCTTCCGAATTCTTCGACCCCTCTAGTTTTCACGTTCTTAACTTTTCTCACTGAATCATACTTCTTGAATAATAATATCTTCTAATCCTAACCTCTCCGATTACTTCTAATACCTTTACTACCTCTACTACTACTATTGGATTTGAACTGACAATTATATCTCTGTGTGCTAATGTGGTATGGCAACATGAACTGATGTACTTACGTACGAAGTTCTACGTTGCATCTGACTGACTGAATAACTGATTCAAATAAGCCTCTACAAAACACCAACAATCAATATGATGGAGGTATACGACAGACCATCCGAAAAGATCTAGATTTATCTACAATAAGACCACTATCTACCAGGTGTGCTAAGATCGAACTGCGTATTGTTTTTGTCTGACCCTTATTAAACCATGCTGGGAAATGTTCACTCATTTGTTGTGTAAGTTGCCTGGAAGTAAGCCCGATAAAGCTATCTCTCCACAGAAGTAGCTGAATTTGTAAATGCACATAGAGGAGGCCAACTCAGGTAACTTATCCTTCGTTCGGGTAGACATCGCTGGTTGACAGGAGAATGTCAATTCAAGTTTGGCAGCGTTGAATGTTCTATTAATTACTCTTATAAATCTGTCCTGCAGAGTATCGCAGGCCACATCTCCGTTGAATTGTAACTTCATAAATAAAGGATTCTTTTGGGCGGTCGAAACCACCTACATATACTTCTTTATGAATGCGCTGGGATAACCAATCTCGGTTAGTGAGCCGATGATGAATTCCAGCTCCTGACTTAAAGTATCCACTGAACATATCATATTTTGCTCTGTTAGTGAGACATCTAACCCAGTTTCTTTTGTAGCGGATAAAAGGTGTAAAACTACAAAAGTCAAGTGTGTATTGGCAAGCAGTGGGATTTTTTTTCTATACACTCTTCTACTTAGTGAACCACTGCACCACTTCGCCTACTTCGTGTGATGTCAAGGAAAGACATCATCATAAACACCAACAACATAAAAAATTTTTTTAACTTACCCAATAAAAATGTATCAACAATCGATTCAATTGTCTCATTGATAAACGTTCGTCGGAATTCGATTTCAAAGCGGAATCAATTAATGCCGACAAATTATTCGGTGTGTTCAATAAATATTCATTAAAATTATTTGGGATTTGTTTTAATTTCGGTAAAATAAATTGAATTAATTTAGCCAGTGAATAAACATCACTTGTTAATGTAGGTTGTATAGTTTGAATAATTTCATTCAATGGTATACATTGTAATATATCTGAGAAATTAAGACTACTGCTGTTATCAGTAGTATTATCAGTAGTATCAGTAGTAGTAGTAGTGGTAGTAGTATTGATATAATGAAATAATTGTTTTGTTGAATCATACAATTCCAATGGTAACCAATCGGATAAATAATTTGCTGGAAGATAATAAATACCAAAGAGTAAATTATAGATTGAAGGTAATTGGTTCGGTTGAGGATCGCGATAATGATGGTGTGGAAGAAGGGGAGTTGGAGGAGGAGGATTGGTTTTGTGAAAAGGATAATCACTGCGATGATGATGATGAGAATGAGATTTGGATTTGTGCATTGATGTGTTGTTATTGTGAGCAGTTGTATAAGGTTGATTGTCATTTTCTTGATTCTCAATAACACTGAGGTTAGTTTGGGAATGCAAAAACAGGAGGAAAGGAAAGGAAGATATATCATTGAACTATTGGTTAAAAATATGAAAATAGAAATCATAAAGAAACAAGTTATTGTGCAGTGTGTCGATTTAATTAATGCGTGTTCTTAATCTTTCGTGATTAGCTCGTCTAGACAATCGTTACTAAATAGCGTCTGACGGTTTATAAATCAGAAGGTGAACTCGTAGTGATGAATATGTTTATTCGGGAAACACCACAAAGCGAAGCGAAGAAGCAGTGAATAAAACGAATGAAGCGACGTGAATTGCAGAAGGCTGTTGAGCCAACTTCAAGGATTACAATCCGAACAAATGGGCGAAGGTAGAGAATGAACAGGCGAAGCGTGTTGCAGAAGGCTTATGAGTCAACTCAAAGAAATAGAGCATGACTAAGAATATATAGTCAGACAAAAAATAAAACAGACATGCAACAAACGAAATAGGCACACATGAATAAAAGCGACGAATGGTTGACAAGGTCAAATGACAAGTGGAACACATCATGTGAGCTCATACAAACCAGACAATAATAAGAACGACGGTACGTATAAATTGTTGCAATACAAATTATGGCTTGGTTAAATAAATTAATCAAAAGGGCTTAACCAAATTAAATGTAAGCGAACTGGAATATATGTGGAGGCACTGCAACTGGATAGAAGTTATTTCTTAGCTGGGAAAATGAAGGAAGCTACTAACCGATACAATGAGCTCCTACACATCGGAGCTTGGAGCGAGTCGTAGGACAGTTCAGTCGACTGCAGTCACAGCACGCATAGCATCAACATGACCAGTAGCGGTTCTTGTCGTGTATTCATTAGACAGGACGATTGATTCCGGTGCACATACGATATTGTTGTGCCCCCGCATCTAAAATCGATAACCGCGGAGAGGTCCGCAAGTGCCTTAGTACTGCCCACAGTTTACAGAGTCTGCTCACCGTTTCTAAATACTCTTCAATCATAACTAATATGTCGTGTCTGTTTTGCGAATAACCCCATTCTCGTTATTATTATTATTAATATGAGCAACACATCGTACGGGAACTAGTATCCAGATTCGTGTTGACACTAAATTATGAGGATTATGGAATTATACCGATTATTCATCGAGACGAATCATCTTTTAAGTCTTTGGGTGATTCTGATTTTATTCAGCCATTTTATTAACACTAATCATCATTATGATATTTAGTGGCTGCTCTATGAGACTACTGATCTAGTATCATTCATTTACGTGGCAATATAATTACCAGATAACCAATATTTACGACGTACCTCGAACTTGTTGCAACTTGTTAAGTAAACTGGTGGTATCGTAACACATACGCTCCTGCATACGAACTGTTCAATAGAAGCAGTCGAGTGAACCTCCTAAACGTTGATCACAACATATTTTCGGCCATCTCAAATACTGGCAACAGTATGCAGCGCTATCAATACACTTATGTTTGGAGTCAAACTATCTCACTCATCAAATTTATACGCAACAAGCATTGCTCTTGAATTTTTTCAATATGGTTTCGAAAGGCGAACACATAGATTTTGGTACGTTGACCAGGCTGCTACGGTTAGATTAGTGAGAGATATTAGCAATTTAGAGATGAAAATCTATCTATTGATCCCTAACTTAATTTCATTTGGGTATTTTGAAAATTACCTTTTATAACATCTGAAAATGTTCATCAAACTCAAAACAACTGACAAAAACAACATTGAGATTAAGAAGCAAGTTTAAATTTGATTACTCATTCAAAACTTGTACAAGTGTGTTTCCACTTAGTATATATAGGATTCATCAGCAATTATGTATTCATAATCTGAAAGTTGGAAATCGAATCCATAACATTTGGTTTCGAGAGGTAACGCTTGAACTCTAAGCTACTAGACTGGTAGACAGTGTTATACACGTCTAACTCTTTAAATAATCCTCATTATTCCGCAACCATCTTATACTATGTTCAAAGGGTACACTCCTAATATTGAATTCAGTTGAACTCTATTTATGATTTTTAATAAAAAATTCTACATTCTTCACAAATCGCTTCATTTACTTTGATGATTATAAGTGAGCCTATTCTGTGAAAAATAATAATCATTACTATTTAACTAAGCTGACAAATGGGAGGGAACAAACCAGATTCCAGCGGAGGAGGGAATCAGGGGGAAGCGGTGGAACTGGATAGGACACACAGTGCGGAAAGCACCAAACTGCGTCAAAAGACAAGTCATCACTTAGAACCCTCAAGGTCAGAAGAAAAAAGGAAGGTCGATGAACATATTACGCCGAGAAACAGAGAAAGTTATGAGAAGAATGAACTAGAATTGGACAGAACTGGAAGGGCGAGCCCAGGACAGAGTAGGTTGGAGAATACTGGTCGGCGGCCTATGCTCCTTAGGGGGGTAACAAAAAATTGTATGAAAAATAAATATACCTGAAAAAAAATTATTCAAACATACTGAATATCATAAAATCGATCAATGTTAGACCACTATTAGAAACCTGAAAGCAATGGACGGTCGTTTCGTCCTAGTCTGAGAGTCATCAGTGGCACTGCTTATCCACAATCTCCCTTAGCGCGCGAATCGAACTAGGGAACCTACACGATCCGTCGCGCCGACGAACACTTTACTTCTAAACATTGATCGATTCATGATTTCAATGCCCAATTCAATAATCTTCATAACCCTAAAATATAATGAAAATACTTACTGAATATATTGACTATATTCAAAATTGCCCAATTTCACACGATCCAATGCATACATGTAGACCGCATGCGGTGTAACACCACAATGAATGATACCAGATGAATGTAGAAACAGTAAAGCTTCAGATAATTGACATGCAACAATCAAAGCTGACAGTGTGCTCAATGCATTTGGCTAGAATCAGACAAAATAAAAGTACAAAAAAAGGTCTAAATGAGAGCAACTATATCGAAAACGAACGAAAGACGAGTAGCCTGAAAAATGATACATCATGGAGTTTACAATGAATCTGACATTCATCAGATAGAAAAATTTGTGAAAACAATTTCATAGGCTTAATTTTTATGAGTAGTATATTTCTACAGATGAAGAATAATTGGCATTTACTGACAACAACTAGTTATCAACAACAAAGGGACAATTTTCAATATATATATCAAGATAGTTCTGTTGTATGGATCGGAAAGCTGAAGAAACAAGTGTTTATAAACAGTTGTCTATACAAGATACTGTGGATCCTTTGGCCAGACGCTATCAGGAACAAACGACTGTAGGCTGGAGTACAACAGCAGCTTTCCTGAAGCTAGCCTGTTTTTGAACTTGAGTTCAATGCATTTCACTGATTCCAGGCAACTCTTCTCATATCTGCAGCAACTTGGAATAGTCTTCTTGTCTCCTACAATGTTCGAACATTCCATGTACCTAAAAGAATGGTTGTTCTGGTTGTCAGAATGGACATCGGCATCATGACTTCCAAAGGAACTCGTCTTTCATCATGAGACGTCATAAATCTTCTGAAAGAAGACCTGACTCCCAGGGCAGAGTTAAAATGGCTTGAATTAGTTTTTCTGGTTAGCGTTTTTTATGGGATGGGGCTTTGGAACGGCACTAGCCTGAGAGGGGCGCCAGGCAGAGTTGAGTCCAATTGACGAAGGAATTAAGAAACGGCGTTAGAGGTGGATAGGACACACACTGAGCAAAGCAACCAACTGCCTCTCGAGACAGCCTAGCACATGAAACCTTCAAGTTTAATGGGAGGCCAAGGACAGAATCAGTTGGAGAACACCAACTGATAGTTTCACTTTAAACTTCATCAATCTTGATTGATAGACGTTTACTTCGATGTGAATTATCATGATTTCGCTAACAACAGGTCAGCAATTTAAACTGGGATATTAAATAATGTGATTAGTAATGGAAGACAGATAGGATTCAATTTTTATCTTAGTTTATAGTTAGTTAGTCGTTATATATTCACTTCTAGAGAGAGTTCATCATTACAGTTGTGTGATTTGTATTAAATTACTTAGCAGAATGATAAGTATGGCTGATATTGTCAATGTACAATGTTACATTATCAATTTTGTGTTTGAGCTTGTTTATTTTAATTTCGACTAGATTGTTAGTTAAAACAAACACACAATACCTCGGAAGTCGACAACTAACGACATGGCTAAGTCCACTTGTCAATGACTTCATGGATTTCTGCCATGTTTTGGTCTGGCTGCCCCTAACTTTCTTCCAACCTAATCCTACACTACAAAATAAAGCTCGTCGAGGCAGATAAGAAACAATTAAGAAAAGTAAATCCGTCTTCATTTATCTTATTCATGAAAAATAAAAGTTTCCATGCAACCTAACTATATCCAGTGCAAATATAACAATCAGAGAGGTTCCTTATGTAAATTACAAAGTGGACCAGTAAATACACTTTGAATGTCAGCACCATGTGTATTTAACTTTCCATAAGCAACTATCATCAAGTGTTTTTTAAGATGTGTGCTTTACAATGCAGAGAGATATGAAAACCATTGAATTCCAGTCGGCTCAGTGTTGTAGAGGTGTTAAGCGAATTTGCGCCAAACCGATGATCCTGGATTCGATTCCCGTCGGAAGAGATGTCGTTGTGAAATTCGGACGTCAGTCAGCCGCTTAAAACATAGAAATTCGTACGTACTTACATTATTTCGGGTTACCATACCACATTAGCACAGAGACTCAATCATCAGTTCAAATCCCATAGTGGTAGAGGTAGTAGGAGAAATAGCGGTAATAGAAAAGATTACGGTTCGAAGATAATATTCAAGAAGTATATTTCAGTGAGATAAATTTAGTAAGAGAAAGATAGAGATTATGAGGAATTCAGAAGGTTAGAATTTGAGAGAACACAACGAGTGGATGTACCTGTGTAATCGCAAACGATTTTGAGCTGTTTTTCAAGGTCTCTAACCATCAGTGACTTTCGTCTCGTGGACATCAACCAAGTGGCCTACATCTGCCAACATGACTCAGTCCATATGTTAGTGACTTCATGGATCGCTGCCATGTTTTGGTCTGACCGCCAATAACTCTCTTCCAACCTACTCCAACACCACAAAACATAGCTCGTTGAGGCATTCGGTGGTTAGGAATTCGGAAAACATGTCCCAAACATTTAAACTGGTCAAGTTTTAATACATTATCTACTGATTTGTCATCCCAACCTAGTACTCGATTCCAAACTACAAAATTGTTCACTCAGGTGTCCCATGATAACCAAGCGATGCTTCGAAGACATCTATTAAGCTTCAAAGGAGTCTCACATTAGGAAGAAACGCCTGTCTAATTCTTCTAAGTTTCCATCAACTGGTCATTCCTTGATTTCAAATAAAATATATATATGCAGAGATTCTTTGTGAATAAAGAAATTTAAACCAATACATTGAGCAATGCACATTCATTGACAGTCTTATAACTGCAGCACACACTACTGCAAATAAATCTTAAATACACACTGAAGACAAAAAAATCAAACAGCACTATCAATCATCTCCAATTCATCTCCTAGTTAAAATCAATTTTTCACCAGAAAATAGGATTGTGACCTAAAAGCAAAAAATATTTAAAAATTTTAGTTCAGTCCAACGTTGTTGAGTGAGATTGAGAGAGATTGGCATTGATTTTTGGTTATTGGTGATCATTGATTTTTCACAAGTAATAATTTAAATCCATGGATTATTTTGTGAATAATTAACTAATGAATTTTACATTTTCTAGAAAAAAGAAAGTAGATTTCATTTCATTTTAATTCACTCCATCAGTTTAGATGGTTGGGACATGTGTTACGAATGAGCAACCACCGACTGCTTCGACGAGCGATGTTTTGTGGTGTAGGAGTAGGTTTGAAGAAAGCTAGGGGCAACAAAACCAAAACGTGGCACAAATCCATGAAGTCACTGACAAGTGGACTCAGTCATGTCGGTACATGTAGGCTACTTGGTTGATGTCCACGAGACGAAAGTCACTGATGGTTAGAGACCTTGAAAGACAGGGCTTAAAATCCTTTGCAATAGCGCACGTGCATCCACTCTTTGTGTTTTGTCAAATTAAAATCTTCAGAATTCCTCATGATCTCTATCTTCCTCTTTCTAAGGTTATCTCACTGAACTATACTTCTTGAATAATATCTTCGAACCCTAATATTCTCTATCACGGGTAATAATTCTACTATCGCTACCAGTATGGAATTTGAACTGACGATTGAGTCTCTGTGCTAATGTGGTATGACCACCTGAACTGATATACTTACATACGAAGTCCTACGTTGTAACTAACTGATTGACAGACTGACTGACCTAATGCTCACCCCCTGTGGTAAGGAAATCTATCTGTATATGAAATAGATGCGTAAGGAAGTAAGTGCATTAGTGCATAAGTAAGTAAGTAAGTAAGTAAGTAAGTAAGTAAGTAAGTAAGTAAGTAAGTAAGTAAGTAAGTAAGTAAGTAAGTAAGTAAGTAAGTAAGTAAGTAAGTAAGTAAGTAAGTAAGTAAGTAAGTAAGTAAGTAAGTAAGTAAGTAAGTAAGTAAGTAAGTAAGTAAGTAAGTAAGTAAGTAAGTAAGTAAGTAAGTAAGTAAGTAAGTAAGTAAGTAAGTAAGTAAGTAAGTAAGTAAGTAAGTAAGTAAGTAAGTAAGTAAGTAAGTAAGTAAGTAAGTAAGTAAGTAAGTAAGTAAGTAAGTAAGTAAGTAAGTAAGTAAGTAAGTAAGTAAGTAAGTAAGTAAGTAAGTAAGTAAGTAAGTAAGTAAGTAAGTAAGTAAGTAAGTAAGTAAGTAAGTAAGTAAGTAAGTAAGTAAGTAAGTAAGTAAGTAAGTAAGTAAGTAAGTAAGTAAGTAAGTAAGTAAGTAAGTAAGTAAGTAAGTAAGTAAGTAAGTAAGTAAGTAAGTAAGTAAGTAAGTAAGTAAGTAAGTAAGTAAGTAAGTAAGTAAGTAAGTAAGTAAGTAAGTAAGTAAGTAAGTAAGTAAGTAAGTAAGTAAGTAAGTAAGTAAGTAAGTAAGTAAGTAAGTAAGTAAGTAAGTAAGTAAGTAAGTAAGTAAGTAAGTAAGTAAGTAAGTAAGTAAGTAAGTAAGTAAGTAAGTAAGTAAGTAAGTAAGTAAGTAAGTAAGTAAGTAAGTAAGTAAGTAAGTAAGTAAGTAAGTAAGTAAGTAAGTAAGTAAGTAAGTAAGTAAGTAAGTAAGTAAGTAAGTAAGTAAGTAAGTAAGTAAGTAAGTAAGTAAGTAAGTAAGTAAGTAAGTAAGTAAGTAAGTAAGTAAGTAAGTAAGTAAGTAAGTAAGTAAGTAAGTAAGTAAGTAAGTAAGTAAGTAAGTAAGTAAGTAAGTAAGTAAGTAAGTAAGTAAGTAAGTAAGTAAGTAAGTCAGTAAGTTAGCAAGTAAGTAAATAAGTGAGTAAGCAAGTAAGTAAGTAAGTAAGTAAGTAAGTAAGTAAGCAAGTAAGTAAGTAAGTAAGTAAGTAAGTAAGTAAGTAAGTAAGTAAGTAAGTAAGTAAGTAAGTAAGTAAGTAAGTAAGTAAGTAAGTAATGAAATACTTCGGATTCGTTGGCCAGACACTATCAGGAACAACGTACTGTGGGAGGGGGAACAAACCAGATTCCAGTGGAGCGGGAAATCAGGAAGAAGCGGTGGAAGTGGATAGGACACACACTACGCAAAGCGCCTAACTGAATCACAATAAAACCCCTCACATGGAACCCTTAAGGCAAAAGAAAAAGAGGAAGACCAAGGAACATATTACGCCGAGAAATAGAGAAAGATATGAGAAGAATAAACAGACATTGGACAGAACTGGAGAGGAAAGTCCAGAACAGAGTTGGTTGGAGAAAACTGGTGGGCGGCTTATGCTCCATTGGGGAGTAACAGGCGTAAGTAAGTAAGTAAGTAATGAAATAGATCTTTCCTTAAAACCACCAAACTATAAACACTCAGATAAATTGTAAACTTGTCGTTTTTCAATAAATTTTCTCTTTAAATCATGAATGAATGAATGAATGAATGAATCAGTCATTGTTCGATCAACATTAGAAGAAACACCTGGAAGCAATTTGAAGGCCAGTAGTCTTTACATTCTGGTATACGACTAGTACTACTACTACCCATCAAGCAGTTACATGTCGAAGACGAAGAAACGACCGTGTTCAATATACATCCAGGTTTCTTCTTCTAATCATGATGATGATGATGTAACACAATGATTGAGTCATTCATCATGTTTTCAAGGTAAAAAAAAATTTACCAACTGTATACTACTTACTGTCTAAGACAAAAGTTGAATCAAATTGTCTGACTTTGTGTCATGAGAGTTTCACTCACTTATAATATTTGTTGAAAAATGTTTTAAATAAAAAATTTTTTTTATTAAAATTAAAATAGAATGAAAAAACAACAAACAAGACGTCATCATGTTTGTTAAAAAAATCTAAAAACTGCTGAACGCTACTCAAATATTGGTTTTTCACTACAAAACCAAAGATACGCAAAATTGTATTATTGACAAAGTACGACGATTAACACTGATTGTTTGTTTTTATTGGCCGGTATTATCAAATGTGTGGAAATAAAAAGTGTAATTTGGATTTAAACTTATAAAATCTTTCTTCATTCATCGGTATGATTGATTGACTTACTGATTTTCTGTGTTGGAATATGTATAATGATGCTTTATTCGCCACACTAGATGACGGGTGTCAGTCAGTTAGTCAGATGCAACGTAGAACTTTGTACGTAAGTAAGTACTTCAGTTCATGTCGCCATACCACATCAGCACAAAGATGTAATTGTCGATTCAAATCCAATAGTAGTAGTAGAGGTAGTAAAGGTATTAGAAGTGATCGGAGAGGTTAGGATTAGAAGATATTATTATTCAAGAAGTATGATTCAGTGAGATAAGGTTAGAAAGTCAATACTAGAGTTGTTGAATAATCCAAAAGATTAGGATTTGAGGGAACACAAAGAATAAATGCACTGTCGCCATTGTGAACGATTTTGAGCCAGGTAATTCGGGGTATATAACCATCGATTATTATCATCTCGCGGACCTCAACCAGGTAGTTGACAATTACCAACATGGCTAAGTCCACTCGTCAATGACTTCATGGATATCTGCCACGTTTTGGTTTGGCCGCCCCTAGCTTTCTTCCAACCTACTCCTACACTACAAAACAAAGCTCGTCGAGGCAGTCGGTGGTTGTGCATACGCAACACATGTCCCAACCACCTCAACTGATGAAGTGTCACTACTGCGTCTATTGGTCTGTCCTTCTCACCTAGCACCCGATTCCTAATAACAGCATTGCTCACTCGGGTGTCCCACGATATACGAGCAGTGCTTCTAAGACACTAGTGTGGTAAGGGATTTATCGGAGTTCTAGTAAGAAGACATAGTTACGAAGAATCTCAGCCGCTCAAGTGTGAGACAGTTAGTTACTTACTGAAGACAATGATGACGACATGCCGTGTCGTAGATTGATTGAAATTAGACGTTAACACTATTGGATGTCGGTCAGCACAGTAGTCAAGAGGTTGACTGTCTGCGCTCGAGACCGGATGTGGTGTTAGGTTCCTAATGCTGGTCTAACATTCATGAGAAATTCATGATCAAGAAGTTTTATTTGTTATGACGAGGAACTAAAACTTATAACTAAACACAGATTTCAAATCAAGTTCTTAATAAAACATATGTTTGCATCTAAACCGACATTATCAAAAAGGACTATATTCTTGAAATTACAGTTCACAGGTGACATACAGCCAGTGAAATAAATAGTAATTCAAAGAATGCAGAAAACTTTAGAATACATCTATCTATTCAATGCTGTAAGACTATATCTTACATACTTCACAGTCGATCAATAGCGAGTTCATGAAATGAGGAGGCCTAAATTGCCTAATTTCTGTCTGACTCTATGTGGTGTATATTGTTGCAGAACTAGATAAACATATCATTGTATTTCGGAATATCACTCTTCGTGGTTAGTTAAGTAACAAAATAAAAATAATGAGAAGCTCAGTCGCATCAAGTCAACTTCAGTATTTTTAATTACAATGTGAAATGGTTTGAGTTGACTTCAAGTGCCGGAGTGAACATCAACTATGAGATGCAAGGACAGCCAGTTACAGACGAGTCCCCAGTAGGACAAATTGCGCATTACCTGGATTCCACTGCGAGACACATCCAGTCAGTCAGTTGCAACGTAGAACTTTGTACGTATGTACATAAGTTCAGGTTGCCATACCACATTAGCACAGAGACGCAAATGTCAAATCAAATCTCATAGTGATAGAGATAGTAGAGGTATTAGTGGTATGAATGAAGAAGACTAGGGTTTGAAGATATTATTCAAGAAGTATAATTCAGTGAGATAAGGTTAGAAGGACAAAGGTAGAGGTACTGAGGAATCCAGAAGATTAGGATTGGAGAGAGCTCAACGAATGGATGCACTTGCACCACTGCAAACGATTTTGAGCCATGTCATTCAAGGTCTCTAACCATTGGTGACTTTCGTCTCGCGGACCCCAACCAGATAGCCTACATGTACCAACATGACTGACTTGTCAGTGACTTCATGAATTTTTGCCGTGTTTTGGTTTGGCCGCCCCCGCTCACATCCCATCTATTTTGATTAAACTTCAGTATTCAAAAATCACTCCAAATTTACCTTATTATTTCGAAATCCAACCTTCATATATATATAACAGAAGCCATAGGAATACACATCAATACGTTGAATATAGGTGTACACAAAATGTTTACACGACCTCTTAATCTACCCTGGCCTTGTTCTCTACACAAGATGGTAGTGTTACATGTTTTAAAAACCTTTCTTCCCTTTCCTTTGGAATTTTTTGTAAAATTTCAATTATGTCAACATTTCAATCTCCAATTCCAATCTTATTACGTAACCTGATTAATGATCACATTTATTTTTCCGATTACGTCATGTCGAGCAAAAAAAGTTTACATTTGCATTCGATTTCAATTCTCATTCCCATTGTTCTATGGGTGTGTGTGTGTCTGTAACTAATGCGTTTACATGACCTGATTACGTAATTTCATTTTAGTTTTAATTTCAAGTGTTCTCAGGTTACGTAACTAGGTGACTGTTCGATCCCCTCACCACCATCTAACTGGGATTGTTGACCTTTAACTCGTTACAAGAAATTTTTTTAATGATAAGATTATGTAGATTGTTGAGTTTCATTGAGTTGATCATTGTTAGACCATCATCATCATTAGACTGGACAACTACTTCGTCCTAGAATGGGACACATCAGTTACAATGTGCATCCACGACTCCGTAAACGGGGATAGCACCCAAAAAAACTCTAAACCTCTTAAACTTTGAGCCAGCATCCGACTATAACATTCCTACCTGACATCAGATTACACTTGATGAGTACCATGGTAGGACGAAATGGCCGTAAAATGATTTGTAGGTTTCTAATGGTGAACTAACATCGACAGATTCATGATTTAAACGGAAAATACATGATATATATATATATACATATATATATATATATATATATATATATATATATATATATATATATCTATTGTAACTTACGTTTGATTGAATATACTCATACATGGTACCCATTGGAGGACGTTCATATACAAGAGCTAATTTCTCAAGATTTATTGATGAATCCCACGATTGGCGTGGAATATCATCGTGTATTATGGACAATAAACTCATTATATTCGGATGATGTATACGGCTACAAGATAAATGAGGTTAGAATCAATCAATAAATCAGTCATTCATGTAACAAAACTAAGCAATAATATACCTAACTCAGTGAATCGATTAACTCCGCAAGTAGTCCCTTCGAGGCTACTGCCGGTCCCAAGGCCGGATAAAGGAGGAGGGGTTGGACATGATGGGGTTGGCGACCCCATCCCAACCAAAACTAACTGGCCAAAAAAACGCTAACTCAGTGAATCGATTATTATTGTTATTATTAGACCGTCATCAGAAACCTGGAAGCAATAATGGATGGCCGTTTCGAGTATATACAGGATGCTTCATTCATGGCAGCGCGCATGCACGACACCACAACGTTGGAATTAAATGCAAGACCTGCAGTCTTGTGCGCTAACTATTAACCTCCATTTCATTGAGCTGACTAGCATCCAACATTCTCGGTATCTAACTTTAATCAAACCACAGATATTGCGCTGGTGAGACTCATACGAGTACGAAACGGTCGTTTATTGCTTCCAGGTTTCCAGCGATAGTCTAACAATGATTGATTCATTATTTCAATGAAGAACAACAATCTCCATAACTCTGTAACGAAATCAATACCGAACTCAGTGAATTATTCTTCTGAAGAAGATTAGCAACTAATTTGTCTATCACAACAGATATATTTTAATATTCTGTTAAATGTTGAAATTATCTATAGTAGCATAAATACAAGTTGCTAATTTCTACACATTATGCTTCCTCCCGACCGTAGCTGCTACCTTGACGTGGTGATGGTCGGGATCGCATACCGTGATGACCCAACCGAACTATATTGGCTGAAACTGATGTTCCTGAAGTTTCTACCATGCCAGGCAGGTCGACTGGAGAACGATGAGACTAAGAGCAGCTACTCAAGGTCTGAGGGCGAAGTCGTACTGCTGACTGTGATGGAGGGGTGTGACAGCAGTAAGGTGTTTCCCTCGGATAACCAGCATCTGCAGCGTTGCTGCCTTCTCACAAGGAAGGAAGGATTAGAAATGGTCAACCTTAAAAATGTCGCATCTCCACGGATTTCCGTCTCTGTCGGTAAGAGTGCCCACTAAGGGCCTTTAAGAGCGGGATTAATACTAAAAAAACTCTCATCAAAAGGCCGTGCTTGACCGGCCTCAAGCAGTTGTCCCCTGGGCTCTGCGGTCAGGCACCCAGGTCTCTAAGATCAACACTAATCTACCTTCTTTTTTAGGTTCCTCAAGAAAAACTCTTCCACTGTGTGGGCAGCCGGAAAGTGACAACCGCCCTCATACCCGTAACAGCACACGAGACCAAATTGATCAAAATCAAATCCTTCCTTCTAACTCATTATGTTTGGACACAGTATAATAATGACTTTGTGGTAAACAAAACTAATCGTTAATCACTGTCATATAATAGACACTGTCCAACAATAGTTTCATACATCATTTATTCGATCACAATGCTGGAGCCGATGTGTACCAGTGATTTGAAATGATGGTTTCCCAACTCTTACAGAGATGAATCCTTCCTAATCACCGACCTCATTTAAGCCTCTGCTGGACACTAGCATCTGTCAGTTTCGAAAAGAACACCTTTGATGTACGTAGATAATGAGTAGGACTTCTTCAGTAGTTGCTGGGTTACATATTCATAAATACTTCAGATAGATAAGTGAATACTTCACTTTTACCTCAAGTTTGTGCTGATGATGTTATTTGTTCAGAAGAACAATGAAAGCTCCACAATCAAACTATTCAACTACTCAAAGAATGCAACTGCACCATTAACATCCAACCAAGAGCTAATAAAGTGTTAACGTCACTATCTCTCTCAAAATGTAAGCATAAAATAACAGAAACAGTTTGCATCAGTCAATATTTAGAACAGTAAAGAACTAACCTAATAACTTCTAATTCACGAACAATTAAATTTCTCATAACCATTTTACTCTTGACATCATTGAATGATTGCATTTTATCAGGATTAAGTTGATTTAAGAGAACAGGTATACCAAACCATTGTTTACTAAATATGAAAAAAATAAAATAAAATCATTTGAAGTCATCGTCATAAACATGATAATAATCTTAGCGTTTATGTAACTGAATTAAACACACACATACATATGCGCTTATTGCGCAAACCATCCAAAACTGTGTCCCAAGACAAGTCCTCTTTTGGAATCTTCAATAGTTAACGAAAAAAGGAAGGTCAAAGAACATACATTATGTCGAAAATTGGCAGCGGACAAAACGTGAACAGTGATTGGGTAGAACTGGAAAGGAAGACCAAAGACAAAGTACATGACACATTTGAAATCATCAATCAATCATTGTTAGACCACCATTAGAGACTTGGAAGCACTGAATAAGGCCGTTTCGTCCCAGTATGGGACTCACTCATCGTCCGATAGTTAGGTGTTCGCGCACAATACCGAAGTTCCCGGGTTCGAATCCCTCGAGGTGCTGGAGTCGTGGATGCACACTGCCACTGATGAGTCCCATACCAGGACGAAATGGCCGTCTTTCAGTGCCTCCAGGTTTCTAATGGTGGTCTCACAATGATTGATTGATGATTTTAAATGTGTAAAAACACAAACCTCCAAAAACTCTGCCCAAAAACACATTACATTGGAGAATGATGGTTGTCGGCCTTATACTTCATTAAGAATAACAAGGGTAAGTAAGTTAGTACTACTATTTATTTGGAAAGTCATAGAACAAAGATCTAGTTGTTGACACGAAGCTATTTGAATCATGGGACAAGAATAAGGTCATCTGTTTTGTCTAAGCTAAGTATATACATAATCAAACATGTTGATTAAATGACTCATACAAAAAGTCAAACTTTCATGGTCATCAAATAATAAATAGTCTGCTTCAAGTGTCAGTCAGTCAGTCAGATGCAACGTAGAGCTTCGTACTACATAAGTACATCAGTTCATGTTGCCATATCACATTAGCACACAGATGTAATTGTCAATTCAAATCCAATAGTAAAAGAGGTAGTAAAGGTATTACAAGTAATCGGAGAGGTTAGGATTAGAAGATATTATTATTCAAGTAGTATGATTCAGTGAGATAAGTTTAGAAAGTCAAAACTAGAAAGGTTGAAGAATCCAGAAGATTAGGATTTGAGAGAACACAAAGAATAAATGCACCGGCGCCACTGCAAACGATTTTGAGCCATGTCATTCAAGGTCTCTAACCATCGATTATTATCATCTTGCGGACCCCAACCAGGTAGTCGATAACTACAGACATGACTCAGTCCACTTGTCAATGATTTCATGGATTTCTGCCATGTTTTGGTCTGGCCGCCCCTAACTTTCTTCCAACCTACTCCTACACTAAAAAACAAAGCTCATCGAGGCAGTCGGTGGTTAGACATATGCAACACATGTCCGAACCACCTCAACTGATCAAGTTTCAGCACTTCATCTATTGATCTACCATTCTTACCTAGCACCCGTTTCGTAATAACAGCGTTGCTCACTCGGGTGTAAAACTAAATATGTCGCCCTCATTAGCCACATTCTTGTTTAATTGTATTGTATATTATTTATAAGTAACTACGGAAATACATTAATTTTTTTTTAAAATGAAAGACTGAAAAGATGAAGAAAGTGACATGGTTTGACATAAGGTACACTGATGGATATGTATGTGCCCCATTTGAAATCGAAATGCAAGATTTTAGTCATTTAATTGTGAATAGTCATTGTGAACAGTAAATTAGAAGTGCTTACCAATATCTCCTGAAAAAATCCTCTTTGTTAAAACAAGAATTTGTATGCACATCTTGTTCAACAGAAGAAACCCGATGCACAGGTATGAATGAAATCAGTTCCTGAGGGAACTGGGGGTGATCGAAGGTAAACTAAAATGTAGTCAATGGATAAAAGACATATTAAATAACATTAGCGAATAGATTTAAGTCAAATTAGGTTAATTAATTTGAGTAACTTAACCCTGCCTGTCTAGAGTGCTTTTTAAGTGTTACTGTCGGTTCCAGGCCGACTTAAAAGTGGACTGGGCATAGGGTTAGCGACCTAATTTACTCAGAAAACAAAGTCGTTATAAAGGAGTAACCAGAACAAATAATTCAAGCTATTTTAACCCTCTACTGGGAATCGGAATGTCTTCATTTCGAACAGTTATGACGCCTCTTAGCGAAATTCGAGTTCCTTCGGAAGCCACCAGGTCGATACCTCTTTCAAAAACCATAAAAACCACCAATACCGGTACATAGAATGTTTGTACAGTGTAGAAGACCAGGAAAGTCATCCAAGTTGCTGCATAAATGAAAAGATAAAACCTTGTTTTACTTTGGTCCAATGAAATACACTGGATTAAGATTGGACAAAAAAAGACTAGCTTCAAAAGAGATGCTGTTACGCTCAGTCAATGAAGAAAAAATTACCTCTCACGTACAAGGAGTCGCATTGATGCCGTCAAAACAAGCCCATAAAGCACTGAGAGAACGGGAGTCTTATGCACTCAAGACCATCGAAGCATCTTTCAAGACAAAGAAAGAACGATTAAAATGAATATCATTTAATACCATACTCCTAGCAATGAGAACAATGAAGACGATCAAGACCAATTCTATGAGAGGCTGTGGTCAAGAATCGATAAATGCCCAACAAAGGAATTGACCATTTTGATAGAAGGCCTAAGTGCCAAGGTTGAAATGCACAAAACTAGATATGAACACATTATGGGAAAACATGGTCTAAGTAAAAGGAACCAAAAACGTGAGATGTTCGCATATCTATGTGGTTCATACAAAAACGTTACATGCAGCATCACAGTCTCACGTAAAAGCATACACAAAACAGTATGAGGTTCACCAGACCACGTTACAGAGAAACAAATCAACCGTATCTGCATCAATCAAAAGTTCAGAAGGACGGTGGAGCGTATAAAAACAAGGAGAGGAGCTGATACAGCCTCAGATCATCACGATGGTCCATTGCGCCTTTAAGCGAAGAGCATCACTACCATTCTTTGAGATACTGGCATGCTCAACTAATTCAAGATAGCTTTAGACAATAAGCACCAGACCTTCCCTAATCTACCCAATGAAGTGGCAACTAATAGTGAGAGCTACAGTAAAGGGATCAGGGATGCAATAAATCCAACATATAATGGAGTTCTGAGCCGAAAGAAGTACCATTACAAGGAATAGGTCTTTGTGGGTACTTTAAACAAGATCGAAAATAAGAAAATATAGGCAGAAATACATATCAGTCGTATATGATCAGAGAAAACCAAGACACATGCTGAACATACAGAAACAACCAAGGAAATGAATTTGAGCATGTGAGCCAGTAAGCGACGATATATGCAAGATCAGGAATGCGATATAATGAAGAAGCTTGCTGGAAAATATCATTCGAAATGAAGATCGGTGTCAGACAAGGTTGCTCACTCATATACTTTCTTTTTCTTCTGCTGATTGATTGGATTATGAAGACGTCAACATCTGGGGGAAGCACGTGATACAGTGGACAGCTTGCATGCAGCTGATTAAATCTGACTTTTCTATCCCACACACAACAACAAATGCAGGAGAAGAAGTCCAGTGAGGCAGCATCTCCTGTAGAGGTACGTCTCAGCATGCACCATGGAAACTTAAGATCCAACGATGCAACACAATATACATCAACCAAATCACATTTTATGGAGAAGCTTTGAAAGACTCGGATAGCATCAATGATAAATATGGGGAATTTAATGCAGATGTTAAGACATGGATTGACATAGAGAGGGCAACCAATAGCGAATTCATGATTACATTTTATACAGCCGAAATCTGCGAAAATACGAAGGCCATCATCAAAAAGGCACAGGTACTTACAAACAGTTGTCCAAACAAGACACTTCTAGCCCGTTGACCAGATACCAATGGCAGCACACTGCTGTGAAAGAGAACAAACCGGCTTCAGTATAGGAAGAAACTGGGAAAAACCGCTGAAATTCGAATTTTCACGCTTTTTGAAAAGCTCAAAACTGGGTGAATAAATATACCTCAACCTGAAACCCTCAAGTGCAAAGGAATAGGTCAAGGTAAACATCGCGTAAACGTACAGAAAGAACAAGAACCGAAAGTAAGCAAATAAGTTGGTCTACACTAGCTCATCAAAAAAGATATTGAAATCATAATTTCTAGTTAACACAAGTTTTGAAACTTGAGATGCCTAAACATACCATGTGACTCTCACAGCAGAAACACAGAGCAAATTTAAATCCGTCTTATCAATTTAAGGTCAAATGCTGTGCCCAGATTTCCATAGGCAACAGTAACTCAAACAAAAACCTCATTGGTAAAGTCCAATGCTTTGCATGTTACATCACCCACAAAATACCTTTTAAAAGGATTTATTTAAAAATTAAAATTTGAAATCGATGCATTATTGAATAATTATAGAGGTACATAGTTGTGCAAGTTCCAATGAACTGAGCATAATCTTACTAACCTGTCTGATTGTTAGAGATCCTTCAGCGCGAAATTCCATTACTTTCAAGAGAAGGTTCTTGAGGATTGTGGCGATTGGTCAGTTGTTTTAAGATTGTGTCTGTTTTGACGAATTTGACCAATAAATGACAACACTCAAATAAACGGAAGACTCTAAAATTACTGTGATTGCTTAGAGTGCACCGTTCATCACTAAAAGCACACACCTAATGGCAGTTAAACTAAGTATCTACACGTTCATATCATAATTTGTAATTAGTTACTGCTGGTGGCCTATGATATATCGGTCTTACCAATAACTTGACAGTAAAATCTGTGAGCCAAACAACGTCACTACAGTGTCATAATATTCGCCTTATAGTCTTAAAACAATGTACAGCAGCCCTCAGTTCGCTGATATGTAGCCTATTCATACATTTTCTGAAGTCACCACAACTCCTAGCTGATTGGAAACAAGCTAATGTCTCTCCAAACTTTGAAGAATTAGATAGGAAGTATCCAGTCTGTTACAGACCGGTCGCAAGAGGTACATGGATAAGAACAAAATCATCTATGAAGTTTTATACGCGTTTCGGAAAGGCAGATCATGTTCATGCAATCTTCTCATAGCACTGGACAGATAAACGACCTGCTGGACAGAAAAGTACCCGTTAACATATCATCCCTTGACTTCCCAATAACTTTCGATGTAAGACCACTCGTTCTCCCTATTGTGAAAGTTAAAAAATGGGCTTCAGTTATCCACTTCTAAGTTGGCCCCGAAAATACCTTTTGAACAGGAAGTTTAGCACCAATATATCACAGGGGACCACCTTAGGTATACTCCTCTTCTAGATAATAATTAATGACCTGTTGGATAAAATTAGTTTAGCGGCAATGATCTAATCGAAAGAGGCAAAGATCCGGAGATCTATAAGAAGCGATGAGTATTCGGCTGAGCTTTAAAAGGACCCTACATGTATTGAGTAATAGGAAGTGGAATTCCTGTTACACCTAAACCAGTCGAAATGTCACGTTATGAACATCCTGTCCGACGTGTTAGAAACGAGTTAAATTCTCAATAGAAGTCCACTTCCTAATGTATCCTCAGAGTGCGATCTCGGTTTAATAACCACGTAAGTCCTAGACATTAGCTTGAAATACTTAAAGGACCATCAAACGCTAACGCTGCTATTAGGTTTATGCGAAGAAAACTTGTTGCAGTCATCCCAGAATTATTCCGAACACTATCTTAAACACACGCACGTTCACACCTTGAGGTTCACAACGTCGTCGCCATCCGTCTCCTTAAAAATGGACACAAATCTCTTGGATTGAGTGCAGAGACGAGCCACTATATAGGTGAAAGTGTTGAAGAACAAGCCTTGCGAAGATGGACTCTAGAACTCGAGATTATCCTCCCTGAGGAGAATGAGAGGGGATTTGGTAATGGCGTACGACATAAGAAGCCCTCTATATAATCCAATCGTGAGCAGCTAACAAAAGCATAATCACCTCAGCCCTAGAAGAAATCCTCGAAATATTGCTCATCAAAGAGCGAACACCAAGGTTCCTGAACGAGTTTTCTCATCGAGAGCTGTCGCGACTTGGAATACTCTCCCAGCCAACTGACTAACGTACGTATTATAATCTCCCTCTAAAGACAGCTGTGACCAATGCATGTCTAGAAACTTGCTAGTCGTTATTTTCGCCACTTCCTCAGGTCACTCACCTAATCTATATTTCTTATTACCTATGTTTCTTCCCCCCGCATAAAATGCTGTCCTGCCGCACACTCTTAACTACCAATTAATTAACATACTATTGTTCATTTATTTGGTTCTGAAACAAATTCTCTCGTTTAGATCACGGGACATACACATTCATAAGTAACTGCCTAAGTGATAAAAAGTTGTGCAGTGGAGTGGCTAGGCTAGAATCCACTGAACACTGACAAATACCTGCAACCGTACAGAAAGAATGAGAATCGAGATCAAAGAAATCAATTACTTTATACAAGCTCATCGAAAAGTTATTGAATATTAGATTTTGAACTTTAAAGATTAGTCCATTCCCAACTCAAGATTCAAACTATAGTTCATGAATACTTTGTTTCTTACTGGTTACCGAGTCCTGATTTGACTTCCCATGAGACATAGTTAACAGTCTAGGATAGGCAGTCACGAGCTGGCTGAATATATTATTTAGGATTAAAACATCGTGTCTAAAGCGAGCATTTTTTCTTAATTTAAGTGGGCTCTGTATATTATATTAATGTATTCTGAATGTTAATAGGTCGGTTTGTTTCAATCATAACCTCCTTGCTCCACTGTGCGTCGGACCAAGATCTAAATAAAGATCTATTACAACCACTTTGCTGGGGCAGAAAATACGAACCAAAAAATTTACTATCTGAAATGTGTTGCGGAAAATAGCGCTATCTCACTCCGTGACATACTTCGTGTCATAACATTTTCTTTGCGACTTAGTTACCGGAAGTTTGATCGAACAAGTCTCTCACATAATAAGTGACTACGGGAAGGAGGAAGTTTGATCAAACTATAATTTTTTAATTATGCACCTATGCTGAACTCTAAGGTGCTGCTTTCGTGCTATTTTGTGCACTTTTCTTTTTAACCATACGAAGCCTGTTTACTAGTTATCATTTCCTGATAAAATAAAATCAACAGATGACTCACTGGAGGTATGAAAATTACAAAGATGCAGGAATTCCTAGAATTCGAAACTTTACAAGTAGGTTTTGTAGGTGGCGTAGAGTAAGCTAAATCATTGTATTTAACTATGTACAATATTAGCTCTACGTTTGATGTATAGTCTGTGTTAAGTCATCAATTTTGAATAATTTTTTGATACCAATCCTTCCTAACTTTAAAATAGTTTGGATCACTAAAGTGATGAAATTGATGTCCTGGCTGTTTTGTCACTGGAAAATCCACCTTAGATATTTATGATAGGAATATTATTTATGTAGACTGACAAAAGTATTAAATGTAGACAATCCTTTCTAGATGTGAAAAGCCTATATTTATTCCATTGGATTAGTATTACAGAGGGAATAAGCCTAAAATCCCTTTCCAGTGTTTTGTGGAACAGTGTTGATCTTAGCGTTTTCTGTTTTGTATTGTGACTTACCGGCGATTCTTATAGCCACGTTACGTTGCCTAGTCCACCTTGTCTACGTATTCAGTATTTGACATCAGTTTTATGATTTAAATTTTCTGTGGCATGAAGTTAGTCCACTCACAATGAACCTGTGCTTTACTAACCTCAAAGTTACGGCATATTTCGGCTGGTCATTGTCGACCTTTGGCTGTCTGTTCGAAACAGTCACACGAATCCGTGCAGGCAGGTATTCGATCATATTTTGTGGTCGATAATATGACTGGTTCTCAGGTACCGAGCACTAATTAATAAAACACTTCTTTTACTGTTTAGTACGCTATATTTTACTAGACAAACCTCAGACTGTCTAGCATAGAATGTGGTGATTAAAGTATTTTGTGATTTGACATAAATCTTAGATTAAAATTTGATTGGAATTAAATTTGGCACAGATACAAATTTACTCATTGTGTAAACCATGGTTAGAACGTGAGACGAAATGTATCTCTTCCGTGCATGCTTATACCTGTGTTTGTTAGGTCAACTATAGTATCTGTTTAAAAGAAATATTAACCTGAATTTTTTCATACGTTTACTTGAGCTACACCATTCTTGCCTTTAAAATATTCACCTTTGTCTAATCCATACTGTCTAAGAATATAACATCTTCACTAATTATCATCAACCCATAAGTTTATTTTTATCGAGAATCACTGAAAGTTACCTAGATATCAGTAAATTTGGTTTATGTTTTTCTAATGCGATGTTAAATTTCGGAATTTTTTGGAACTTCGTCTGTCTAACAGATCTCAGAACGTTTTAGAAAATTATTCCTACATCGAAAATGCCGTCGTGTTAAATCATGACAAAACTAGCTTACACCCATTGCCTGTCAAGCGAAAGAAACCAAAAAGTTAACAAAAATCTCAATTTTCGAAAATAACACTGAACAATGGCGAAAAATAATCTAGGATTTCGGATAGATTACATGATACACAGTGGGATGAGTGTGCAATATGAAAGAGTCAAACTTATGTAACAAAATACATAAATCTCATTTAGGCGTGAACGCAATGAAAATGGTAGCATGCAACTGATCATAAACAAATTACTGAGCATACTTTTATGGTGTGACTGTGTGTTGGCAACAAAGCAACACATTCGTATGGGTAATCTTAAATAATGTGAAAATGACGTGTGCTAGTTAATCATTTATCGGTTGTTTGCATGAAAACGGAACAAACCGCGAAATTAGATAAGATGAAACAAGGGAAATTGATCCTTAGAACTATCATATATTCTGCGAATAAAGAATAATTAAGCATGAACATGCGTTATCAAGCCACAATGAAGCTGAATGAGTCGATTAAAGAGTAATTATTTCACATCTAAATAGTTGGGAGTTTTCTAATATAAGATAGGTTCAGTTAAGCGTCCTAATGATAATTGAATCTTGAATGAAATTCATTGTTATATTACGATTGATGGTAATTATAAAATGCAAAGTCAGTATACGTAAATATGGTTATTTCGATCAGATGTATCGAGCTATCACTGAAAATACATTAATAGAGTGATCAGAGGAATGGAATAATTTATCATTGATGAGATGAGATAAGCGGAGTCACATTGC